ACTCAGAGAAAGTAGCAGTGAGGTGAACAAATCCCTGTTGTAAGGCAGTTATATACCTATAAAGCGAGAGAACAAATATGTAAAATATTTATATAATAAGTTAATTGGTGGTAAGTGCTATGGAAAAAAAATAGGTTAATAAGGTTAGGAAAGGCACATGTATTTGGAGGGTATATATACAGGGAGTTCAGGACTTACTGAGGATGTGATATTCGAGCAACTTAAAGGAGGTGAGGTGGGCAGTCCAGAGTCCATGGGGAGAACTTCCCTGTGAAAGAGAAGCAGGTACAAGTCCTTGAGGAGGGAGGAAGTTGGCTGTGTCCTTGGTGAAGCAGGAGCAGAGTGAAAGGGAGATGAGGGCAGAGTGGTAAGGACATGCTTTTCCCAGAGTGATTTCAATAGCCCTTGGAATGACATGATTTAGGTATGTTTTCACTTATATTTAACTTGGTTTGACCTTAAGTTTCTCCATTCTTGTGCCCATCCCCATGTGTTGTATCTTCTTCACGGACTTTTTCTTGACCCCCGGTTTTTGTAACTCCAAGCACTGAGACTGACTGCCATCTCTCAGCTTTTTCACACGGGGCTTTTTCATTGCCCTCTTGGGAAGACACATTCTGTGTACCCCTAATAGTTGTGTTGCTTCCCCTAGAACAGCTCCCAGCTCTTCAGAGAGGCTTCTCTTCCCTGGGGGCTCGAGCTCTTCCACTCCACCACATCTCCTCCATCCTCTGGCTGTCAGCTGGTTGCCTCGTCGCTATCTGCTAACGTTAATTGAAGATATTTGTCACCCGGGTCTTTCTCTTCTCCAGAGAACTGCCAGTACCTGGGGGAAATCCAGGGGCTGCCCGGCAAGTGCCGTGCTTTGTAGTTCCTTGATTCCAATATCCGATACATTTCCCTTGTTTGATTCAGCCATCTGTGCCCACAGCCACAGTGTGGACCTCATCTTTCCTCAGCTTTTGCCCGTCTCAGAAGGGTTAATGTCTCAATAGTGTGGAAAGAGGTGGGATGTGAACAAATTCATTTGTATCAACAGCCTGCATCCAATCCAGTGATGTTCCCACTCTCACCAATGCCATACTACACCTTGGCCTTCAGGGGGAGTACACGCTCCCAGTCCTGAGACCTTGGAGGATGGACCTCCTTTGACCATGGAGCTCTGGGTTACGGTACTAGGGGAAGCAGTGGTTGAGTGTGTGGATAATGGAGTCAGACACAATTGTTCTAATCCTCACTTACAAAATGAGGGTGACCAGGCATGCCTCATATGTGAGGAATAAATGACTTAGTGTAAATGCAATACTCAGTAGAGAGTAATAATAATAAGGGGAAACCAGTTAGGTGTTGCTTCTTGGAGACAAGTGAAGAGGTTAACGGCTATTGTTCCATGGGGTGGTCTCACGTATTTCTTGAAACAAGAAGGAATTCAAACTTGAAAAGCTTCTGTCTCATTGCCACACAGCTGTGTGAAGGTATCTGGCTCTTGCCCTTCCTCTGTTGCCCCACTTCTGCCTCCCTACCCCGAGGTGCGGCAGGACTCAGAGTGGGGTCCTGGAGGAAGGCAGGAGGAGCAGGTAGCTTTTGCAGGCCTCCCTAGGCAATGAGACATTCTTCTCTGCTTAGGCTCATTGAACAGGGAAGATGTAAGTAATACATGTTTTCCTCTTTTTGTACAAACCTAACTCATTTCTGGAGAGTGCCATAGAAGCAGTTATTGCTTCAGAAACATCTAAAAGTGACATCTTTTTTTTTTTTTTTTTTTTTTTTTTTTACTTATTGATCACAAAAAGAGTGAAAAGATGGTTTCTTTCATAGCAGGCTGCTAGATTTCTTTCTTTTTTAAGCTTTTATTTATTTATCAGAGAAAGTGAGAGAGAGCACAAGCAGGGAGAGCAGCAGCAGGCAGAGGCAGAGAAAGAAGCAGGCTCCCCGCCGAGCAAGGAGCCTGATACAGGACTTGATCCCAGGACCATGGTATCATGACCTGAGCCAAAGGCAGTAGCTTAACCAACTGAGCTACCCAGGTGTCCCCTTCTAGATTTCCTTAAGGGGCTCAGACAACCCTAATTGTTTCTTCTCTTAGTCTCTTCACTTGTTTCTCAACCCACCGCACACTGCTTTCTTTAGTCACCATTCCATGGAATCTGCTGCCCAGGCCCTTGGTGGGGAACCTGGAGCAGCGAGGAGGGGACCTGGTGCTGAAGGGGCAAGCTATGGACATATTCAGAACCCATGCAGAAATGTGGAGATTTGAAATACAAGGAATGAGTTTGGACAGTCATTAAAAATATAAAAATATGAGCTACAAAAGTAAATGAAGCATAGAAATAGTGAAACAGAAGGTATGTCACAAGGACATATAGACAAGGACAAAAAGCAAAGGGAATCCTAAGAGAGCTTTTTAAAAAAAATTCCAGCTTAAAACATGTTTATAGAAGTGAGATAAAGCAAACCAGTTCTGAAAGTGAATGTAAATGTTTTCCGAAATCTATTCAGAAGTTTAAAATAGATGCACCTGAAACAAAACAATTTTTAAAAAGATGGGGAAAATGTTATCAAGAAAACATAAACAGAAAGTAACAGGATGGCATACAATTTAATTTTAATTAAAAAAAGAATTTGATGCAAAATGCAATCAACGTGTCTAAAAGGGACATTTTTTTCTGTGTTTGATAAAAAGCACAGTTACTAGTGAACATTACATACCCTTTTCTGTGTTAAGTAATGTAACATCAAAATATGAAGCAAAATACCCCATGATCTAGCAGTTTTACTCCTGGATGCGTTCCAACTGCAGTGTGTATTTCTGGTCACCGGGAGAATGTACTAGAATGTTTGTAGCAGCACTTTCCATAATAGTTCCCACATTAAAACTACCCAAATGACCATCACCAACAAAATGGAAAATAAATTGTGAAACCCTCACCCAATGGACTACTACACATCAGTGAAAGTGAACATTCTGCATACAGCAGTCCCCATGAACCTCACAGAGTGCCGAGCAAAAGCTGTCCACCGCAAATGAGCACATGCCGTATGATTCCATTTATACAAAGGAAAAAATGGAACTAGCCGAGCTAATCTTAGAGGATGAGAGTTTCCCTTTGTGGAGAGGGGGTAGTGACTGGGAGGGAGCACACTGAGGAGGTGATGTCCTGGCTTCTGGTTACAGGGCTATGTTAATTTTGTGAATAGTTTTCAAGCTGTTTACTTGATTTGTATATTTTTCTTTAAGTATATTTTATTTTAGTAAAAAGTTTATGAAGAAAAAATTATCAGAAAGTAGAACACTGTGTAGAAAAACTGTTTTAGTATACTGCTTCAGGCTTTTTATTTAAATTAAAAATAAACAGATTTTTGAACAATATAGCCATTTATACTGGATTAATGCATACTGATATTATACATTAAAACATATATGTCTGTATCTGTATATACTTAAGAAAAGTTTTGACTGTTGATCCTATATTAGGCCAAAAAGAAATCCTGAAGTCTTCGAACAGGAATTATGCAGACCATGTGACATTCTGAAACCAAAATGTGATAAACTAGATACTATTATTAATATTTCAAACAACTATAAAAATTGGGGCCCCTGGGTGGCTCAGTGGGTGAAGCCTCTGCCTTCAGCTCAGGTCATGATCTTGGGGTCCTGGGATGGAGCCCCGTACCAGGCTCTCTGCTCAGCGGGGAGCCTGCTTCCCCCTCTCTCTCTGCCTGCCTCTCTGCCTACTTGTGTTCTTTCTCTCTCTCTGTCAAATAAAGAAATAAAATCTTTAAAAAATTAATTAAAAATTAAATAAACATCTATAAAAATTAACCTTTGAGATATCTCTTAAATAAACATTTAGCCAGTGACTAAATGAAGGTGACAATTACAGATTGTAGTAATAATTATTTTTGAGAAATAAAAGTGAGAAAAATAAATATGTCATAAAAGTTTGTCCAGGTGTCTAAAGCTGTATTCAAGGGCAACAATGATTAAGTTCATAGTTCTTGAATGCTTCTATTATTTAAAAAATGAAAATAAATTAATTTTCTTTATAATTCAATTTGACAAGTAAAAACAATCCTAAGAGAAATATGAAGAAAGTAATAAGAGTAAAGGCAGCAGATAAAATAATTAGAAAAGGGAAATGAGTACAATAGAGCTGATGAACAAATCTAACTACTTATTCCTTTAAAGGAAAAAGAAAACAGCACAGTAATAGGTAACATAATGTAATTAGGAATAAAATAACACAAATGTGAAGAGAAACAAGAAACCCAATTAGAAATTTTTTGAAACAGAGTGCTTTATGCCAGATTATGCCAATATATATTTTTTAATTGCAATTAAAAATGGTAAACCTGGGAAATTACAATTACAGAGAAGTAATTAAAAGACTAAAATCCTAATAGAGGCAGAAGTATTGGAGGAACTGGAGGTATTGGAGGAATTAGAAAGGTGCCCAGAGGCGCCTGGGTGGCTCAGTGGGTTAAAGCCTCTGCCTTCGGCTTGGGTCATGGTCCCAGGGTCCTGGGATCGAGCCCCACATCGGGCTCTCTGCTGGGCAGGGAGGCTGCTTCCTCCTCTCTTTGCCTGCCTCTCTGCCTACTTGTGATCTCTGTCTGTCAAATAAATAAATAAAATCCTTAAAAAAAAAAAAAAGAAAGAAGGAAAGATGACCAGTTCATGGTCTGAAGTCAGATGGTGATTCTGAGTTTTTTTTCAAACTTCCAAGGAGGACTTCCTGGTGTAACCTCGCTCTGCCAAGTGTGCACAGCACCATTTTACCTTGGCTTTGTTGGGTGAATGAATGAACCAATGAATGAGTGCTCCCTTTAACCTCCCTCTCAGAGGTGCAAATAGACAAGTTAGGTAATGTATGTGAGCTTCTTAGCACAGGGGCTATTAAATAGTGAGCATTCAGTTAATAGTAGGTCAGATGTCTTATAGGACATGGGAATCAAAATGTCCATGTGTAATCTTTTGATATGTGTATATATTTTTTCAGGTTATCCTGATCCAGAAAATTTTTCCTGGACAGAGTATCTGGAAGCTACTCAAACGAATGCCGTTCCTGCCAAAGTTTTTAAAATGGTACGCTTGTATCTGAGTATACTCTCACCTTTAAGCAATGTACATGTTGTCTTCATTTGACAGTTTTTAAATTATTCTAGATTTGTTCTTTTTAAAGTTGAGTGTTATGTTCATAACCAGTTTGCCTTGTTTTCAGTTAAAACTGCAAAGGAAGTGATTCACTTACAATGGTTCCCCTACACAAAAGTTAACAATGGTTTCCTTACTCAAAAAGTCTGGTAGCCCACTCTAGTGCAGTGAAAGTCACCTCATCAACCTCAGAAGCTGGTGCGGTCCTTCATTTCTGCCTGTATGCATCCATGAAGTGGGAACTCTGCTCTCACAGTCTCGGGGACTGTCTAAGTGTTCAGGACATCATGATAAAACCGGTGAATTGTATGGAGCCTGTGTGTGTTCTAGTTTTATCCATTTTGAGGGAAACATTACTTTTAGCATTTGTTAGAACACCAGTTTTTAAGCACAAATTTGTCCTTACACATTTATTCCAGGGTTGAACCAAGCATAAATTATTTGGTAAAGGACAGTGCATTGATAGTATAGTTAGAGATCTTTATGTCTAAAGTGGTTTTCAAGTTGTTCCCTTTCAACTTGTGTGCTCCGGGCTTCCTGACTCATCTTTAATCAGAATTTTATATAGTGAGCTTCCACATACGATTTCAATTATGAAAAGTTTTCTAGGGATCACAAGGGGTTTGAAACAAAATGTTATTTCATTTAAAAAATGATTATACAGTAGGCTGGATTTTAAAAAGAAAAGTAACAAAATTAAGAAGGCTAGAAGTCCTAGAGCGCTTGGAAGGACATTGAGAATTGCGGAAACTCAATAAACAGAATACCAGCTGCTTGTATTATCTTTTTCTCTTTTGCTTTCTGTCAAAACTCATTTTACTTTTCCAAGAAGAAAATTACAAGAAAACAAAATTGTGATTTAGTTACAAAGGCAACTTCCAGGCTCTGACAAAGGTTATTATGGCTTTACCTCAAGCTATATATCTTTGGTATCTGCACTGTGAAACTGTTACCTTTCTTACCGGGACAGTGACCTTGGGGAGATAGGAAAGATTTTCAAGCATCAAAGGCCTAATTATAGTCCGTGTACTCCATTTAGTAGGTGTAATAATGCAATTTGGAAGAAAATATGCTTCCACAAAAGCTGGAGAGAAACAGATGAGGTACTGGGGAAAGATTTAACTATTTATTACTCATGAATCATGAAGGTTTTATTTTTCTAGTGCCATTTCTAGATTTGAGGAATTCAATGCACTTTCATTTGCAGTGAAGTCAGTTGAATACTTTTGTATGTAATAGCTTTCGAAGTGAAATTTTTGCCAGCCTATGAACACTGTCTGAGTTGTCTTTCAACTTTGATTTTGGTATTTAAATTTCCTTGGGGTCAGTGACTTCGTAAGTCCCAGTGTATTTTTTCCCATTGAGTTTTTTTTTTAGTGTTTTCTGAGTGTCCATCATTATAGACTTCTGGTTCCTAGCATTTTAAGAGTTGGAAGAAAGCTTGAATTTATTAATACAGGTTTTTAACATACTTAGGTTACAGGTAAGTAACAAAAGCACAGGTTATGGTTTTAAATACATTGGGGTATGATTTTAAAACAGTTTAACTGTGATAGTCATTCAGGTTTTATCTATTTTAAAATTTAGATTTATAAAGGATTATGTTTATCCTTTCTAATTGTTTACTAAATAATTTTGTCTCTGGGTCACACACTCCAAAACTGGGCAGTGACAATAGTCAACAGTTTCTTAATTTATTAAGTTAATTTCAGGAAAAAACTTAACAATTAGTTAATCAATTAGAAGCTTTTCAAAATCTTGTGATCATTTAATGAATTTATGATTTAATCTCTTTTGAGCTATCTTGAAAATTACCAAAAAATTCTTTCTCCTCTCACAAGTTTGAATAAGACTGGATAAAATAACATGCATTAGCCCTATGTGCCTTTCAACCTAAATTGCAATTGTATTAAGGGTCTGAATGCAAAGTCAGAACAATTGCACTTTAGAAAACATATGTGTCTGAGCAGTTGGGTTTTGCTGACTTTACTCTTCTGACATTCCAGCGGACACCCCACGGTTTTCTGCCAAGCATGAGACTTGAAGCAGTGGACAGAAGGAACCCCAGGCTCATTCGCGTGGCTACAGTCATCGATGTGGATGACCAGCGGGTAAAGGTATGCACTTCCGAGCAGTGCACTGCTGTCCTGTCCAGTACCTGCCCCTCCCTTGAGGCTCTGATTTTTTTGGCACAGTGGGAGGAGCAGACTTCCACTGACACCATTCCTAGTCCCAGCTCCTGGGTAGAGAGATGGCCAGCTGACGTGCACCTGACAAGGGGAACGTGTAGCTTGCCCACAGCTGATTTTGAGAGGCATTCTAGCATGTTCCTGTTTGAGTTTGCTGTTTAGATTTTATATGCTTTTTCTTTTTTCTTTTTTAAAGCTTCCTTTTATTGCTATTATCAGCTTTTTTTTTAATAGTCATTAAATACCTTAAGAACAATCAAGGCTTTGTTTTCTACTGTTCTTCGTTAGATCAAAGAGAAATGAACAAAAGGACTTTAGTCACTGTAGCTAAAACAAAAATTGAGATTTTTGAAGTAAATATCTGGTGAACAGATTTCCATACTGTCCTTATTGTGAAATCTACTTTTTTAAATGCACACATTTTCAAAATGAAATTTTCTTAAAATGGAAGTGTTTCCATTTTCTTAGTAGACAGCTAAACATTGTTGTATTTAATAAATCTACAGCATATGACAGTTCAAAATGATTTTCCATCCAAACACAGTTTGTTTCTTACTAATAAAAAGATTCAAGTCAACTGCTTTTAAATAGGCACCATCAAGAAAGAGGCATTTAAGTTTGATATACAATTTGCTATGATTAAAATAAATCTTACTTGCTATATGCCAAATTTGAAAACAATTTCTGTTTCATCTCATAAAGAATAATCAGTACATACATTTTAGTTAAATTTAGAGATGAGTATTTCACGATTGGTTACCAAGAATTAAAAAATATCTTTTATTCTTCTGACAAATGAAAATAATTATGCTGAGCAATATTCAGGACTAATACATGATAGGTATTTTCTCCCACATATCTTGTTTCTAATGTTTTATTTTACATTGAATTTTGCTTAAATTCTTCTTTGTGGCTCTTTATTGTTTATGCTTATAGCACTTACTCTGGGAATGACTTTTGAATATCATAAATACTTTATAAATTCAGGAACTTTTTTAAAGATTTTACTTATTTATTTGAAAGAGACATTGAGAAAGAGAAAGAGTGTGAGAGAGGGAAGGGAGAAGAAGAGGGAAAGAACCCCAAGCAGTCTCCACGCTAAGCGTGGAGCCCCACATGAGGCTCGATCCTATGACCCCCAAGGTTATGACCTGAGCTGAGACCAAGAGTTGGAAGCTGAACCGACTGAGCCACCCAGGCACCCCAAAATTCAGGAATATTTTGTCATTGAAAATGAGCCTCGGGTTTTTTTTCTCTGAATTCTCGTTTAACTTTCATTATAAAATCATGGCATTTGTGGGAAAAATTAGATCTTAATAGTATATCAAATCTTAGAATTTCAATTGACAGATTATTTTCTTCCAATTCGTAAGAAAGATATTGTGTTATTTGTTGGATATATTTGCCACCTTATTTAAATGAACATATTGGGTTAACACATGACCTTAAAATATTTGAAAAAACTTGAGTTCCTAAAATGAATTTAGTGTATTTCTTATTTACCATCTAAACATTGATCCTTCCAAATCTCTGAGAATTTAGCTGGTCCTTCCAAAGGAATATTTCATGTATCTTCTCCTTATCTTTCTCTTTCATGGTAATTGCGTTGTCCTTTGCTATAGAGAAGGAGTTGGAAAGTACATGATCCCTCTGACAGGATTAGAACCTTAAGTGTTATCTCTGTGGTTGTGAGCACAGTGGAGATTCCATTAGGATTTTAGGACTACATTAAGATGTGTTTATGCAGCTGTCGCTCTCAGCCCTGCGAAATATGCTTTATAAAATGTGAAATGAATTACTTCCACATACCATTCAGTCTGTCAGAATGTTATCAGTCCTGAAATAGATACAAATGTCTTAGGGGTGTGGCTTACTTTTGGTCTCACAGACAGCCTCTGCCCTCTTGCAGCCCATTTCTGGGATGGACCCTTCTGCCTTGGACCCTCCATTCTGCACTCTCCCCTAGTCAGTCCTCCAGTTGGGTTCATGCTTGTCCTATCCCATGAGGTACAGGGGGAGGGATTGTGGGCTGGCAATTTTCCAAATAGAAACAAATCATAGAGAAGATTCGGAAGTTTGGCTTCAAATTCCATTCATCATTGTTCCAGAGGAGAGAAAGGCGTTGAAAATGAGCATATGGTATTCTCCTCTGAATTCTTGTTTAAAGAAGTTGAGGGCTGTGGATGGGGCTAGCTCTGCCATTGGGAACGCAGTTGACACTTCCCTGATCTCCTCGTTCTCAAGCACATTCCTCTGTTCATTTACTAATGTGCTGACCATATTCTTCTATATATTTTTTATTTTTAAAAAAATTTTTATTATAATTTTCTCTTTTAAAGTCTATTTCCTTCCAGGACTGTTTTTTATCATTGATACTGGCACATAATAGTTGCTTAATATGTGTGTGATTGAATGGGAATTGAGTGAGTGAAGAAACAAATGGCATTGCATATACTCTGGTGTCTTGTTACCTGAGTGTGTGAAATAATTGTATTAGTCAATAAGTACTCTTCCCTCATTCTTCATCCCTCTCCTAATTACTCTTCCATTGGAAATCCAGTTCAGCATAATGTAATGGAAAGTGTCATAAGATGCACAGATCTGAGTTGGAATTTCAGCTCTGACTTCTTTAACTGTTACTAACTTAGTGGTTACTTAGTGTATTTGAACTTTCCTTTATCTGTAAAGCAATGTGGTTACCAATGCCTACCTTGTCCACTGGTTGTAAACATTCAGTGAAGAACACCCGAAAATGTGCCTGAGTCTACACTTCAGGTTGCTGCTGTTACCTGCCAGTGCAAATGTCCGGTGCTGCTCTCCTTTGGTGCCTTTATTGTCTGTGTTAAGGAAGAGGCCTCATCAAAGTAGTTGTCATCAGTAGATGGGGAAGGAACAAGACAAGCACCGTGGTGAGCATGACTGGAGTTCCCTTGGGAGGGCTGGTGTGTGTCTATGGGATGGTGCTGCAGCCCCTCATCTGACTTTGGAGAGTAGAGTCAGCCTGTTGCACCAAAGAAAATGCCAGTGGAGATGATAATGACAACAATAGTAATTTGTATCAGATGACACCCTTATAAGGGCTTCCTGTACACTAGGGTACCCTTATAGCAACCGTGAGACACAAGGTGTGGTTATCAGACTCATTTAGTAGATGAGGAAACTGAAGGCCAGGGAGGTTAACTAATGGGTCCAAGGTTACAAACTAGAATGTGGGGAACCGGGTTTATACCCCAGCTTTTGCACAGAGGTTTTCAACTCTAGAGCTTATAATATTCCTACTCCTTCTCATCTTAGATTCTGCTTGTTATCATAAATATCCCACTTCATGATGGGAGAGTGGGTGTGGAAGGTGGGGACCAAGTTCACTCCTCACCCACCCTACTTTGTCCTTTGTGCTGGGCCCACATTGCCGGGCTTCCCAGGAGATTTGTGTGGTCCTTCTGGCACTCCCTGGCAGAGTGAAGCACATCTGGAAGACTAACTTTTTTCCTTTCTGCCACTCCCCAGATATGTAGTTGCCCTGTGTGCTTGATTAATTCTATTTTTAAAGCGGCTTTTTTGAGATATAATTCACACACCATAAAATTCACTGGTTTTGAATGTATTCCCAGAGCTGTGCAACCATTACCACTGTCTAAGTTTAGAACCTTATCGTCCCCCGCAGAAAGAAAGTTCATACCCCTAGCAATGACTCCTCAGGCTACACTTCCTCCCAGCCCCTGGCAATTAGTAGTCGACTTTGTGTCTCTATGGATTTGCCCTATTCTGATCATGTCCTATAAATGGAATCACATAAGATATGATCTTTTGTACCTAGCTTCTTTAACTTAGTATGATGTTTTGAGGGTTCATCCATCTTGTAGCATGTATACATATTTCATTATTTTTTATTTCTAATAATTTTTTTAAGATTTTATTTATTTGACAGACAGAGATCACAAGCAGGCAGAGAGACAGGCAGAGAGAGAGGAAGGGAAGCAGGCTCCCTGCCCAGCAGAGAGCTCTCATTATTTTTTATTTCTGAATAGTATTCCATTGTGTAGATCTACCACATCTTGTTAATCCATTCATCATTGATAGACATTTGAGTCATTTCCATTTTTTGGTTATTTTGAATAATGCTGCTGTGAACATTTGTGTATGTTTTTGGGTGGACATGTTTTCTTTTCTCTTGGGTATATATCTCTAGGAGTAAAACGGCTGAGAGTCATATGGTAACTCTTTGACATAAAATGTTTTCCATAGTGATTGCCCCAATTTATATTCTCATGAGCAGTATATGAAGGTTTTAGTTTCTCTACATCCTTACCAACATTTACTATTGTCCGTTTTTGTTTACTTTTTCACATTTTAGCTAGCCTAGTGGGCCTATGTGTATAGATACGAAGATTCTGAATTATTACAGTTGACATATGACCACTAATAATACATTGGCCAAAGGAGTAGGATCCAGTGACTTCCTAGTGATTGTACTAGTGGAAGTAATAACAGCAGTAGGTGTGATGTCAGGCTCAGAAGTCACAGAAGTATTACCAATAGAGTAAGAAGGCCCAGTTACTGAATATGGACTTTGTTCCAGATATTTAGCTAAGTATGTGACATACTGTACCTTTATCTACACAGCAACTCTTTTTTAAACTTACATTTTTACTGAGGTCTAACTGACATGTGACGCTGCATTAGTTTCAGGTGTAGAACATAGTGATTCGCTATTTGTTCACTCTGCAAAAGGACCACTGCAGTGAGTCTAGTCACACAAAACTCTCACACGTGTATGCTATTTCTTTTTTACAGTTGGCATGGAGACTTTAAGTAATTTGAGCCAGGTTTCCCAGTCAGAGGAGGAAGAACTGGATGCACGCTTAGGTGTTTCTAGCTCCAAAGCGCAATGCTCTCTTTTCAGATACTCCCCTGTAGCTGTGATAAGC